AGCAATTTGGTCCTTTATAATGTGAGAGTTTGTATAGCCATCATCATCCTTGTATATGACATCCATGACCCGAGCAAAGTTAAGAACTCGAGTCAGGATAGGCATAGGAAGAGCTGTTGGTTTCATGAACTCTTCATTGACATCTTTCCATGCATTGTCAATTTCTTCTCGAAACACTTTCACTGTCTCTTCCTTTGAAACACCATATTGCTTCATATAGCATTCAATAGCGGATGCAACATGAACTCGTGATTGCTCGAACTGCATAAATTTTTATATGTCAATATAAATCTATGAAATCATTTATAGTCCTACCGATAGCTTTTATATAGGTTGAATTACATAAAATTAATCAAGAAAAATTAAGTATATGTACTTAGGTAGAGCATACCTCATGCGAGACAATATCATCCATGAGTCTACAGATAATTGCACAAGCTTTAACCATTTTAGAGTCATTAGAGATCCAATCAAAGGCTTCTTTGGATGCAACTTCTCCCATGCCAACAAAGGAATTTGTTATGAGCATTGGATATCCAGAAGTTATGAGGGCTGTCTGCATATACTCTTCTAGGGGTGGAATGAAGCCTTCTTGGCGCCACTTGGCTTCATCAAAGTAAGCTTTCATTACTCGTTTCATCTGTTCATGAAATTACTTTACACATGAAATTAATAAATAATCCAAAGTCCACATAACCTGAATTAATCCAGTCATATATCAATTAGTTACTTACGGACTCTTTTGCATAATCCATAGTATATGATCTTCCATCTTTTGCAACCTCCACTTCCATTTCACTATAAGTGTTTAAAAGTACCTGATAAATCAATTTCATATATTTTGGAAGTTGATTTATGACACCAATGTCCCACCTAAAGTCATCGATCAAAATTATGAATTCCATTTTTGAAATATGTGAATATATTCAAATGATTCGACTAAAATAATCATTAAAGTAAAGAATGTAACCTTTCAACACACTTGGTCAAGAGATCAAGTTCTTCAATTGTCCCATAGTTGTCATAAGTATCATCCAAAATAGATGACAAGCTTATTACTTTAGTCAAAAAGATCCTTCCTAGGGAGTATCTAGGCTCAAAGTAAACTCCCAATATCCAAAAGTAGCACTCCAACACTCTATCCCTTGCATAAAGCATCTTTGTTGTATAAAAATCCAATTGTTTCCACCACCTAAAATACCAAGCCAAATTCAAATGCCTAAGACAATATTTCTCTAGCATTACAAGTTTATTTATTGCAGAAAGGAAAAAAAGAAAAAAAACTCACTCCATAATGCCACTCAGCTCCTTTAGGTGGCACGCTTGTAGCACATTGAAATCGATCTTTGCAAATTTAAGCAGTGTTGCGTTAGAGGAGACGAAATGATCATCTCTTGAGTACAAAGATATGTGATGCCTTGCTTCTACTCTTGGTAAGTCTTTTTGGATGGGGCGCTTCAAGGCATGAGCTATTTGTTCTGCAAGCAAAGGACTTACTTTTGTTGCCATCAATTCAAGGTGTGAGGTAGTGAATGCAATGGCTTCATCCAAGATATCTTCTCCATGCACACAAAGATGTGCAGCCTCATATAGATTCAACATTCCAAGCACATCATTCACTAAATCTTCCTTGAAATTTCCTTCCTCATCCATGAATTTCTTGAACGTCTCTACATATCAACAACGTGAGCACCTTCAGTTCAACTAATTAAATCATTTCATTATTAACTCATAAAAACAATCTTACAATAGATATGTATTATATATCTTTCAAAGATTAGGATAAGCATTGACCAGATGAAACTTTGATCCCTTGTTGTCTAAGTAACCGAAACCAAAGAGCAACAATACACAAATTAGATTCAATACTATCAGCACCACCAAGATATATCTTCTCCAAGGCATTTTCAATTTCAGTCTCAAAATGGTAAGAAATGCCTAAGCGTTGTACTGCATCAATCAAACAAAGTTTCTTTGAAGGATCAAAGGTGGCATCATCTAGCAACATTCTCCTTACTTGTTGCTTCAGTTCTTCATATTCTTGTTGAGTTCTGGCATCAATTTTCTGCACGTGTATTTCAAAAACAAAACCTTAAATATGCACCACAGAAATTCAATTTTGTGCTCCGTCTTGGTAAACTTTTCTGAAAAATAGTATCGTGATGCTAAGAAGTAGTGAAAAGAGTATGTGGACCAAGAAATTGTAGTACGTAGGTAATTAAAACAGAACTTTC